GTTCTTGTCAAGTTTAACTGAATGTAAACTTTGTTTTTGGAAAACTTTTGTCGTTCGTAATTTCCGTATCTTTCTCACACATGAAAACAGATGAAAACTGGTAAAATCAAATCTCAAAATCTAGTAAGCTTAAGTTTTCAAGCTTCTTGAAAAGTAGTTAAGGCTTATATGAAAGAAATAAAAACATATTAAAAAAGAATTAGGATAAAGCTATAAAGCTATTTTTTAACTGATGACTCATTTGGTTTTAACGTTCAGGGCCTTATTTCTCAAGTTTAGCTAGTTTATGATCTCCAGCCAATTTTCTCTCGGTTGCTACAAAAGCATTTATTTTTTTATTTTCATTGGGGTAAAAATACATTTCAGTATAAAAACATTAAAAAATTCCTATGGAAAACCAAACATCGTTATGTAAAAGACGTAATTAAGTAAGCTTATTTTTTGCTCACCTTAACCAGTTTTTAAGTCTGTTTTTTAGTCTTGATTTGTCCTAAATCTCCAGATTTTCGATTTCAATGAAAGTAATCCGAGGTAAATTTCACTAAACCTGATATTGTATTGGATTATCTGTAGTTATCTTAAGTTGTTTTTAAGTAAAAAAATTCAAAGCCTATTATGTCGGCCATGGAAAACTTTGTTGAGGAATCTTCCAAGAACAAAACTAGCCCCTTGGGGTGGGTGGTGAGTTGTGTACAAAATTCCTAAGTGGGAGAGCATACTCGCACAAAGAAAACAATGTAGTGCATTTCGATTCGAATTCACTTCATGGTTTTTATTATGGGAGAAAGTATCTTCATCTCGAATAAAAAAAATTGAAGATTTTTTTTCCCGATCTAATTTTTACCTTTCAGTTTCATTCAAATTGGACTGTGCCCAAATATATATATATTATTCGATATACGTGAGCAATCGCATGATGGGATAGTCAAACATTACACGTTTACAATAAAACGATTTAATAACACAAGATGGCGTCGCAAGGAACTCTTCACTTGCTTTTCTTCGTTACTCTTGCCTTTTTTCCGGCACAGATACCTGGCAAAGAGTGTCACAAGATAGATACGTGTTCTTGTATCATGGACGATGGTACAGGGATAATTAGCCTGCATGCTATCGATAATGAAGATGGAACACCTAGGTAAGAATGGCATGTTCTCCAAGAAGTATTTTTATTCAGTCAATTTAGAGCGCAAACACTAAATCCATGAAAAAAAGTCAAATTGTTGCTGCATGCGCGTAATATACACTGAATGTCTGGCCGCGAGGGAAATAGTTAGTTTTATTTTCCCGAGAGTCTCGATGTCTCCCTCGGCGAAGTACGTTTTTTCCCCCCGAGAGTGTCGATGTTTCACGAGGCGAAGCGGAGGGAAACATCGAGACTCGAGGGAAAACAAAACTAACTAATTTTCCGAGGGACCAGACATTAAGTGTTTTGTTATATAGCAATTGAGAAATATTGAGAAGTCAGTTTACGAAATAAGAACTTTATTTAGCAAGCTAAATGCATGAAAACCGACCATGATTTTACAAATACAACTCACATACGGTCTTGTATTTCTCTACCAAAAGGCGAGGAGAGTAGCAACAGCATTTTTAGTCGCTTTTTTCGTATTTTCCGAATCGTTTTTCTCAGTAAAAGTCTGTGATTTCTCTGTAGCTTCGAGCTCCATTTGTACTGAAAAATCGAGCAAAAAAAATCTGCTCTTGATTGGTGCAAAATATCACGCCATCAGCGATTTTCACGTTCTGATCACATACACTTGTTTATTTTCACGGTTTTTGTCACGTGCAACTTATTTCCCGATTGGGATAAAACGTCAGCGCATGCTCTGAATCCGTATGCAAATTAGTCAAGACATAAGTAAATTTGACTTTCAAAAATGCCTGAAATTGCCCTATTTCACTATGACGTCACATCAAAACAATCTATTGTTTAAACGCAAAGGATCATGGTCGTCGGAGGGGGTTAAATCAACGCAAATTCACCGAAAATTGTTCTAAAACCCGTATCAATCCACGACCCGTATCAATCCACGAAATCGACTCTTGAAGAAAAGTAGAATAGCCAGCAAACGCTCAGAATATTTTTTAGTACATATTAACACATATTATATCTGAAAACCAAGCCATTTTAGATTAAACTGTTTCGCTAAGAGCAAATTTTGTTGAATTTTCTATTGGATTTGGCGATTCTATCCCCCACATAAACGAGTAGTGACGTCATAGTGAAATAGGGCAAATTTACAAAATGCCAAAACTTAGTGTCCATACTTGAAACTTAAGGCTAATAAATTCTTTCATATTGTGTTTGTTAATACAGTATCTTGGTCTGACGAAAGTACACTCTCGAACTTTTTTGTATACTTGGAGATAACAAACATTTATTTTCTCACTCAATAACTCTTCATAAATTCTTAAAAAGCTGCTGAAATGAACGCATGCGCAAACGTTTTTCTCTAGTGTCAGTCGGCAGGTCCTGATACATTTAGTTTTAACTAGTGTCACGTGGTCATCTTTCAACCAATGAGAGTGTTCGTTACTGATTGGAAAATTTCGTAGATATATAACAATAGTTTTTATTTAGGCGAATTATTTGAATTTTTCACCTAAAACATTAAAAAACCCAATGAAATAMATTTGAAAAGCAAAGTAAATTGAACAATTTATAAATTCTTCATAAATTCAATGTAAAACAAAATCAAAATGTAAACAAAATACACGGTTAAATGTTCCAAAATGTTCCAATCTAAAAGGAAACCACGTTGTTCGGCAATGAATATATTACATTTTGCATTGGATATTGTATGTGATATTTTGTAGGTTTACAGGAATCCCAGACACAGTGATACCAATCTACACATTTGACTGGAACCCTTGTACTCCTCTTAAGACTGAAGGACCATGTCAAGGCAGTAATGTAAGTGTGGTCAACCAGCTTGATGTTAGCAAGGAAACTACAGGTCAAAAGTATACAAAAGGCAAATATAAGCCGATTCCAATATCGCGTTGCATTTTTCAGAGATTGGGTTGCCTGTGCCCTAATGCTTGTTCACATTTTTCAAAGCTCGTTTCTACGCTTCGCGTACTCCAAGAGAGTTTTAAAAAAAAGGTTGTCGGAGTCAATAGATAAAGGAGATAACGAATAAAAACGAATGATCAAAGCCCTAAAATGGTTTTGTCGTCTAGAAACAACACGCAATATCTCAACACTAACTTCCGTGTTCTTGACAAGAAAAATGATGAGAAACACAAGTCATTCCAGATGTTCTTGGATCTTGGAATATGACCTATCACATACCACTCATCGAATACCACCTATCGCCTATTGCCTATATGGCACCTTTGCTCCGACAACCTTTTTAAAAATAGTATAGCTTAGCATTTAACTGTAAAACAATATTTGTATAGGAAATCGCACTATCTCGAGTACAATTCGGAATTTATAGAATACGAGTGATGTTTTGAAAGTTTTCAAAATTGGAAGAGCTTTATAAGCTGAAACATTCAGCACAGTATTAAAGGGATTGTTCAATGCCTTGGAAATCACCTGAGTTTTATTTGCTCGTCGTATACACGTCACTGTAATTACCATATACCATACCTTGAACATATACCAAATGTCTCTGTTTTAGACTTTTTAAATGGACTTACCTGGGCCTCCGCATTTGAGCCTACAACTGTCTGTGCCTCAAGCATGAAATCATTTTAAGTTGATCAGATTGGCTGGAAAAATTATCGACTCGAAATTAGCTCGAAAATCAAATTAAAGTGGGCTGATCACATCCAATCTGTATTACTGTATTATGATTAGGATTTGATTTGACTTCTTGTTCTATTCGATCTGACCTCTCTTCACTGTGACCACTGAGCTGTGTATTAGTAGTGTTGCTTTGATTTATTAATATATCCCCATGCACCATTGCACCGGGAGACTACGATGATACGGCGGCCATCTTGCCGGTGAGGGGGAGGGGGGGGGGGGGGGGGGGGGGGGGGGGTGTGGAGGTGGGAGGCAAAACAAAACAAAGATGACGAAAAATATAAAGTTTCTATAGTGCATGTCTTTCTTTTATGGGAAAGGTGCCGTCTTAATTCATCTTTCGCGTATTCTCTTGTGTTGAGCTGTTAATATCAATTGACATCATTGCTGTGACAAAGCTTTATATGCCCCGCGGATGCCCCATAATGCCTTACGATCCAAGATGGCTGCCGTATCGTCGAAATAGTCCATTGGACTTGTTAGTGAAGCTAAGTTAGCTTTCTCCCTTTATTCCTCTACCTTCTTATTTACCTAATTTAGCTTCCTTCCCACCTTTCTAGGCTTGTCAGCATACACCAGATCTGTTTCCTGTTGGAAAGCCTAATACAACTTTCTCTGTCAATCCTGATGGTACGGTACTGATAACCTATGAAAAAGTGACTTATGAAGATCATGGCAGGTAGGGACAGTACAGCCCGGTTCGTTTAGTATCTTATATTTGCTTTTCTTTTTTTTAATAAATCATTTTTTTTTTTAAAACCTAAAAATCTAGGTTATATTAACATTTTAGAAAAAGTTTATGTCAGTAACACATGAAAAAAAAAATTTTTATAGGGATTTTTGTTCGGACTTTTTGAGATTTTTTAAGAGCACCGAAACTACAAAATATAACAATATCACTGTACACGCTGGGAAAAATGAGAGCCAAATCCGGCCATTGTGCGCCCGTTCAATTTTCAGTCAGCGGTATTATCTGTCCTATACAACACAAAACAAAATNGTAACTCTTTGTCTTTTTGTCAAAAATATCCATGTATTATTGTAGAATGATTGACTAGCTGTCATTCGTGCAATCATAGAGTCTGATAACTATTATCTTATGAATCTTAATTTTTTTCTAATCACTTCCGGTGGTGCAATTTTTGCTCCAAATGCTCACGCGTAGGCTTCCATTAAATGATGATTATCTCGAAAACAAGCTCGGGACACCAAATTTTTCTTTCCAGGTTTGGAATCAGCATTAAATTTCAATTCGGAAAATCGAAGTTTTAAAAGAAGTTTACATCTTTTTGCAAAAGTAGGCAGTCACCTTAAGGATTGCAAACAAGGATTGATTTGATTTTTTTTTTCTTATTCAGGAAGCTTCAGGTGACACTAAAATGTGATGCAACAGAAAAAGGCTCCTTTGTGGATGGGATATCAGAATATGGTGTAGGTACAGAAAGTATATATGTGAGTATCCATGAGGTTTGAAGCAATTTTTGATTTTCAAATTTTATTGATAAGCTGAATTTTCTGTGGGGAAAAAAAAGAGTTGAACGAGAATTTTGCATTTCACATACGGTAATACGACCATATTTGAGTTGAGTTTGTTTGATGTGTTTTTTTCTTTTGTGTTGTTCTCTCCCTTGCCATGAGCCGAGCGTTTTCTCCGGTTTCCCCTTCTCTGTAAAAAGCAACATGTGAGTTGAGTATTGTATGTTGTAAATATAGAATGAAGTGGTGGTCGTAAAATATAAATTAACTTTAAAAGCCTCAGTGGCCGAGCGGTTGAGAACTCGTCTAGCAAACGAGAGGTCAGTGGTTCGAGTCCCGCGAGAACCTAACTGAGGCAGATTTTTTAATCTGCTTATACACTCGATGTAGCATACATTTAACATATAATTTAAGTTTAGTTTTAAAATAATTTTTCAATTAATCCTACTCTGAACCTCGCTCTGCGGCTTGTATGTTCAAGCTCGCATATCATAAAAAAAATCAACATGTGATTGAGTGCGTGTGGAGGGAACATCACGGAAGAGCYCCGTGGGGAGTGGTGGTCGTAAAATATAATTGAAGTTTAGTTTAATAATTGTAATTAATCCTGCTCTGAATCTCGCTCGGCTTGTGTGTTCAAGATGGCATATCATAAGACAACTCAATTTTTTGTCAAATGATAATTTCTTAGTATATTATTTTTTGTACAACAGGTTGGAACGTTCACATCAAGATGTGCTTGCCCTGACGTATGCCCAATGTACGAGTCTGTTGACCTTAAAAAATAGCCGCATCAAACGGTTTATTGAGAAAGACCATTGGCGTCTGGCTTCGTTATCTTTGCATATGTGTTTTAAGGGCTTTTGGTATAGGGAAGACTTTTTGTGCGATTATTGTACGTATGAGTTCAATTGCTGAACTTTTGCAACATATTATAACTAGTTTGTTGTCTTGAAGGTTTTGAATAAATCTTTTGGGTTTAAACATATTTGCTTCCATATTCAATCATGTGGCTTCACATGCACAACCAGTTAACAAAGAAATGATACTCAAGGGAATGACACGCGTGCTCTAAAATGAGAAAACATTACGCCCAAGCTAAAGAGGTCGATTGGAAATGGGATTTTGATTTCAGTTTGCAGCCATGAAAATAATTAAGTCAATAGGAATAGAGGTACCAGCATGAAATTTCACCAAAATTCGTAGCTATCCATTAGTACATCAATATTAGGCATTGTTTTGTGGATAAGATGGATTTAGGATCGCCCCCTTACCCTGCCCACACAACCGTGAACGCTTCCAGTTTTTCCCCCAGGGTTATTACAGTCCTACGCGTTTTACGTTTCAGACCCTCTAAAGTATAGCATTGAATTCAAATACAACGAGTGATGAAAATAAATCTTATTTCCTATCGATTGACTCAAGGGATGATTTACAGTATGCCTTAAAAAAAGTGACAAAAATCTCAATGCGTTATCACCGTTCTAGTGTCCTTATTGTTTTAATATATAAGCAGTGTGGATTCAAGGTTTAATCGGGCCACAAGTTAATCAGCTAACCAAATTACTGTCACCTGTCACTCTCATTAAATAAAGTCTTCAAACAATCAATCAAATCTGTGTACATACTGAATAAATCAAATCGTGGACTAATAAGCATGTGAGCAGAGTTTGTTATTATGTATGTTGTTTGTTTGGTCTCTCCCTTGATTCAAAGGTTGTTTTCCGGGTCCAATTTTCTTTCTTCCACAAACTAACAAGCTAAATTCCAAATCTATCTGTAGTTAGGTAGCCCAAGCTAGGTTTCTGAAAAGTAGTATGTTAATAAAACCTGGCTTAATCCAAAATTTAAGTACACAGGGCCAAAGAGGTACTATTCATCAGGATTCATCATCAGGATTTTCTTTACTTTATTTCACATTTTGACGATTTCATTGAGTTTTTTAAGTATCACCATACATTTTCTCATAATATGACAGCACAGCCGAGATAAGTGGTTTTCAAGGTCTATAAAGTTTTTTTTCTCAAACGACACTTAAAACAAGAAAAGGCCGGCTCTGTAAAACACGTTGAAAAAATGAAAAAGTTATTTGAAAATTGTTTTTCAAAATACTTAGTCTTTCTTTGTAACTTTGGAAATACTGTAGTCTCCCTCGCAAGGAGCGTTGCGTGACGGGTTAAACGGCCTAGTGCACATTGGCATGACAAAAAAGACTCTCACCACCCTACATAGTAACCGTTGCTGTTCAAGATGGCGTTCTTTCGGAGACGTGCAGGAAGTGTAGCACGAATATTTTTTATTTCTTTGGTCGTTATACCCATAGTTTTGGCCAAAACTTGTAAAAAGTTAAGTAACTGTAAATGTGAGCTGGACGATGGCAGTGTCATAGACTTGAGCGATTTAGACAACAAAGACGGTAAACCAAGGTAAGATTTTGCACGAGACCCTAGTTAGTTGAATTAAGTTGATTTGTATATAGTTAGGCTTAGGTTCATATATGGACCTAGTGCCTTATCTGGGGTATCTTAGTAAAATGTTGGGGTAAATTTGTTTTAATTTCTGATGGAAGCCAAAATAAAACGGAATCAATTAGAAATCTAGTCCGTTTGTGAACAGTTATTCAGAGAACTAACAAGATTATGACATTGAATTCTAACTCAGGCAATAATATATCTAATGTATCAAAGTCTAAATCTTCGTGCTCTAGTATTAAAGCGTTTGAAGCCGAGCTGACCACGCGCAGAGTTCTCCGTGCCGGCTCGATTTGCTTCAATCAGCCAACGATAACCTATAATTTTTATTTTACTGTACAAGCTCTCGATGTCTCGCGTGCAGCTCGTTAATCGCGGTCCTGGATTGTCTTACGTTCTCAGTTCCTAAATRTTCAAAAAAATTAAAAATAAACGTGATCGTCTAACTAAAGATTATTTTTTCATCACGAGACTCGGGTCACTAAGGTTTGACAAAATCTGGAATCTGGATTCTGAACTCTTGGATTCGAGATCAGATTACATTCGACTCTCTTTGAACGACCACTCTCGTAAGCGACCATCTCCCATAAGCGACCACTTTTTGAACTTCCCGTTTTGTTCCCCATTTAAACTCTGTAAAAAAAACCTCTCTCGTAAGCGACCACTCTCGTAAGCGACCGCGACCACCTTTGGAGTTAAAATTTTGGAATTTTTCATTGTTTTTCCTCTCCCGTAAGCGACCACCCAAGAGCCAGTAATGGTGACAGATCCTATATAATAAAAATTTAAGAACATAAAGTCATCGGGTATTGAAAACCCGACGAAATATTGACAATTACACTACTGTAAACATATAGCACATTACAAATTTTGATTAAAACAATTTAATCCTTAATACAGTAGTTTTAACACGCGAGTTACAAAATTATAAAGGGTTTAGGCTTCCTGTGTTGGGATTCCCATTGTTTGGGCTTCCTGTGCTAACACTCGTAAGCGACCATCTCCCGTAAGCGACCACTTCCTCCTGGCCCCGAGATGGTCGCTTACGGGAGAGTCGACTGTACCGATAATCAGAGTGCGTGCATTGTTCTTTAGTACTTGATAAAGACTATTTAGCATCTTTATTTTTCTTTATATAAAAAACATGCACTACCCGCATATGTGCCCTAACACTAGAGATTACAGTTTCACGAATTATTTATGAATTTTTCTGGCTGTTCAAAAAATTTGCAGATCGTGTTTTATCAGGTATACTAAACCACTCAGTTAGGTCTTTTTCTTACCTGATAACGAATTCATGGGTCAGTGGTGTTGCGGTAGTAGTTTGCATTCCTCTCTCAGTCACGTGTTTCATTCCTGGGCTCAGCATCACACGTAAGCAGAGTTTTTTTTAGGAGTCTCTCCCTTGATTCGCTGGTGTTTCTCCGGATTCTCCCGTTTTCCTCCCTCTGCAAAATGAAACACGCTAAAGTCCAATTCTATCTGTGTGTTAGCCGTGCCCTGACTTAGATCAGNGCCCTGACTTAGATCAGCCCAGAGGTTGTTTCAGGGTTCTATCTGTGAGTTAGCCATGCCCTGACTTAGATCAGCCCAGAGGTTGTTTCAGGGTTTGATATGTGAGCGAGCCATGCCCTGACTTAGATCAGCCCAGAGGTTGTTTCAGGGTTTGATCTGTGAGTTAGCCGTGCCCTGACTCAGATCAGCCCAGAGGTTGTTTCAGGGTTCGATCTGTGTGTTAGCCGTGCCCTGACTTAGATCATCAAAGAGATTGTTTTAGGGTATCGAAATGTGAAGGTTTGAAGGATAAAATCATACTGACTGCGTTCATTATTACCTTATTTCCGCATACGTTTTTCAGATTCACTGACATTCCTGAAGAGGGTCAATCATACACATATAAATACAATCCTTGTACACCAATCAAATTGACTGGAGAGGACTCTGCCTGCACAGGAGCGAACGTAAGTACACTCTAGTTATACAATGCTTCTGAGTGGTATACTTGGTAATTAGTCTTTGAGGCCCAATTGGGCTCGTATTGACTTGTAGGCGAGAGGACTAATTGTTTTAAAAGGCACGCATGCGCAAACATTCTTCCTTCCCCAACTCAAAACTATAAAACAATGCTATAGAAAATACAACCAATCAGTATGCAGGAAATTCGTTGTATATTTATCAGTATATCACTCTTCCGTCCCAGCGTGTGCTGCGCGTTGAATCTACGCATTTCTATTTTCTATGGTGTGGAATAAAATCAAATAGTGCTGTTTTTTGGTATCTCAGCTCTCCAAGTTCTTATTGAATTCTGTTATATTTATATCGTCATCCAGCTTTGTCAGAGAGATCCACAGATACTTCCCCCCTCTTACTACCCTTGTGATGCATCCAACCCATCGTTCACAGTTGACGAGTCCAATCATGTCGTCATGACTTACAAATCCTCTAAAGATAGCTATGGATATACAAGGTATGTATACCGAACACTACTAAAAATCGTTCAGCATTTGCTGTTATATCACACCGAGCTGGGACAATCACAACACTGAGAATTCTGCGCTCCATACTAGGTGAAAACCCAAAGATGGAATTGCTTATGCACTAGTCAATTGAAACCCCCGCCCCCCGACCGAGCGGGGCACTGAACGGGGACGTGACGCGTTTTTGATGTGCTTTTGAGAGCATGATTGCACCGGGGGTTCGGGGATTTAACGAATAGTTTTCTGAGCAGGGAATCGAGCGGGGATTTTAACGCTCTTTTGAATGTGTAAGGGCCTGGAAACAGGAGGTCGGCCATCTTGAAAAATACCAAGAAGGCGTTGTGATACCAAGCACAGGCAGCCCGTAACCTAGTACAGAGCAGTATGTTCTACACAAAACACATGCTCAAACAAATTTATAGCAGTTTCTACCTWTACACTTTTACACTGAACTCCACTGATAAGAACCTTTCTTAAAATTAATAGGTTCTTATGTGGAGGGGTCTTAAAGTGACTCAATGTAGCCTAACAGGTTCTTTAAAAAAACCAGGTTCTTATACGCGGGTCTTGTTCAGTCGTTTCGGTCAGTTCGAATGTAGAATCAGATCATGATTAATCTATTAAAACTACTGCTTCGCAATATTTACAAGCATTGTTCATTTTCAATTTGATACCATTAAATTCTCAGCTGACTAGACGTAAACCTAAACGTTTTCGCACGATTTGAGGTTCAGAGCCCATGAAAATATTGAGCATTGAATATTTAGTTGCCAGCGTTTACTACTGTGTAGCACAAGAATTTGGAGTTGGCGTGAAATGTGTTTCTCGTTGACTACTAAACCAAAATAACGGGACCACAATAGCGGGGGTTTTAACAGTGAATGTGCCTCCGACTACCGGGGAAAATGTCTGATTTTAACACCACTCAAATGTTAAAATCCCCGGTATTTCGCGGGGGTCGGAGGTGGGGGTTTCAATTGACTAGTGCATTACTTAAATTACCGAGGGCCGCAGTCCCGAGGGATGTATAGGCTTATTGCCGACGTTCGAGGTAATTAAGTATTTTATTTCTCAATAAAGAAGGTTTTCTATCAAATGTTGCTCATTATAAATGCGAACGGTCTATATATAGTTATTAACCGGGTTAATAACTATATATTGACCTCGCATTTATAATGAGGGTTATAACAAAAATTTAGCCTTGTGAATAACAAAGAAAACCGTGTCAATTGAGAAATAATGACCCAAAATAGACCTTTCATAGGTCATTTGCTGACCTTTTTTTGCAATTTTTTTGTCTACGTTGTTCATGTATGTCTAATTACACTCTCTTCGTTACAAATTGTGAAGTTAATTAAGGACGGTGCCTACTAATTGAGAATCAATTATTTTTTTAAATGACTATGTGAATTCACCTTTTCGGCGCTAGCCGTCACGGGGTATAAATTGTTTTAGATTGTGTTACAGTCACCAAAAAATTGAATCGTTTTAACCTATCAAAGGGTTGTTAAATTCTGGTCAGAAAAGTAGGGGTCTTCATGCATTTAAAAATAATAATAAAGCTTACAAATCGTTAAAAAGTGATGACGTCATGATTTTACTAACACGAGAAAGGGCTTTTTTTAGAACAACGAAAGTCACTCTCCTTTGTGATGAAGAGCAGAAAAAAGGAAGTACTGGTAAAGGAGTAAGCCAAACGCCAGGACTAGGACCCTCATCAACATACGTAAGCTCCTGATTTAGAGGGGTGGGGTGGGGTTACAATTGTTATATATGTTACAGGACCTGATTTAGAGGGGAGGGGTGGTGTTACTTGATAAATCCTGAATATGTAGATCTTATTAGACATTTTAGGGTGGAATATAGCCTCCTCCGCAGACATCTCCTTGGCTCTTTTTGCTATCCTTTTGCTCCTTGGGCTTCCTAGGACTCCTCTCGCTTTTTCCCTCCCTCCCTCGTCCCTACTCCTCCTCCTCTCTCTCGTTCCTAGTTCTTCTCTGCCATAAGAATCAACACAGGGATCCCAACAGAGGATATAGAACAGAATATATGGAGTAGCCTGCGGAGGAGGCTAGGTGGAATACGGGTGGCAATTTTTTTACTCCACCCTAAAATGTTATTTATTATCCAACTGAGCTTATTAGGCCCAGGGCAAACGTCGAACTAACGTCGCACCGAACCTATTTAACATAGGTTCGGTGGAAGGCCGACTAAAGGGCCTACGTGGCGGCAAACGTCGAACCAATGTCGATCTTAATTCGCTCACCCATTGTTATTATAATTTTAATTGGACATGAAAATGCACGGGGGAACGCATGGACATTTGTTTGTCTTTTCCTGATTAATGCATATCCTTGCGATGGCGAAATATAGCGCTCGACCACGATTAAAACAGACATTTATTTCTATGGAATGCAGTACAACAAAACAGAAAACGGAGAATGGCGTTGCACTCTGCACTGTTTGCCTGTTTTTCTCAAGGGTCTCGTCTCGTGGCAAGGATTTTATAAACGCGGACATGTTCAGTTTGAGTAGTTTTGAATATATTTTCGTATCCAGAGCTCCTCGGTCTCGTTCATCACTTATCTTTGTATAGCGCATGCTCGCCAGGGGGGGGATGAGTGTTTGGGAGGTGGGGGAGTGGTTGTTTTCACGGCTTTGGTGTAAGTCATGCGACTTGTATGATTGATTTACTGTTTTGTATAATTTATGAATTTAGTTCGGCACGTGTTTAAAA